CAAGAGGAGTGTTGTTGTTATAATAATTTCTACGCATAAAGTAGCTTAAGAAAACCACAGATGTTTTATGTAAACATTAAGAAAACAACACATGCTTTATTTAAACATTTTCTGTGTTTTCATAGCATCAACTTTGATTGTGTTTCCCAGGGACAATCTATCGGTATATGGGCTCTGCTTTAAATGAGATGTAATGTAATCCTTTTGATGACTTGAAGGTTATGCCATGCATGATGTCTCAGAAGTGTTAATCCGGGTACGAGTTGACCATAAGTAATTGTAAAGGCACGTTACAGTAATTAAGTGATAGCAGTTGTATCTTATAAATCAAAGATATATCACAACACACACACAAAAAATGTTATTGGAAAATGTAATGACTGACATGACTGAATAATTCCAAAGTGTTCTTTTTCCATTCTATCAACATTTCTAAACAAAATTGGCTGATGGTCTTATCAATTTACACAGTTAAACCTGATATGTATAAGAATGTAACTTTTTGAAACATACATATAAATGCTGACATGACATTGTGTATATCTTCGTAAGAAGCACAAGAACAAATTGGATGCTTTGAAATAAATATATAAAGTGTGTGTTAATTACGATCAATTTAATGAGGACAGAATACTACTTTGTAAAATCCGTTTGCCTATATTCACCAATAACACTTATATTTTTGTTATAACAATACCTTTAACTATTTACAGAAAAGCAACTGTACCCGCTACACTTTCCTTTGTCGCTTAGATTATTATTATTATTTGGTATCTCGATTACGCGAATACCAACTTTAAAATATCGTTGCATATGAGTATCGCAGTCAAGGTTCACTTATGCATATATGATTCGTACGCAAATGTTTGGATATCTCGGTGTAATAATATGGACTGACAATGGACTGATTAATTTAATACACCCTTAATTCAATAAAAAACAACAACGCCTTACTAACGAACTGTTGGTGTTAAGTTGGAAGATACTGTTTCTAATAATCTAATAATCACATGAATGACTACTTACCTCTTTTAGTCTACGACGAGTGATCAAACGTTCAACTTGAAACAGTCCACGTAGAGCTGATCGCGATCGCGATCGGGGCGGAGATTGTCATATACCAACGGATTCGTGGGTTCTTTTAAGTGCACAGGGTTGTGTACTCTACACTAGGGGCTGTGACAATACTGAAAGAGTCTGCACACAAAGTTGACTCCAAGGATTTTACACCCGGTCACAGGTGGGCTCGATCCCGGAACCTCAAGCTCGCTGGATTACTAGCCTGGCGACTTAGCCAGCTCGCCCACCGCGCCCCCCCTGTTCACGCTCTTCAGCAGTCCGATCTTCAGGATCTATTCGACCAGCTTCCCAAAACCCTGTATTATCATGGGTGATCTTAATGGACACAACCCTTTGTGGGGAAGTACCGATACTAACAACAAAAAGGAAAATCATCGAAGACTTCATTTCTAATAATAATTTATGCATCTTTAATGATGCATCAGACACTTATTTACATTCTGGTTTTGGAACTGATTCTGCTCTTGATCTGTCTCTCACAATCCAAATATATATAACGAATTTGAATGGTCAGTCCATGAAGACCTGTGTGGAAGTGACCATTTCCCCACATTACTTTCAGCTATAAACCAGCATGATGATCCACCTGCAACAAGGTGGCCATTACTTCAGAAACTGTGTACTGACAACTTGAAATCGGACTTTTTTAACAATACTCTAGATCCGATTCAATTATTCTCTGGTAATCTGAAGAATATTGCTGATGTAACTATCTCTAAGTCTCTGCAATTCCACATATCCGTAAACCATGGTTTAATAATGACTGTAAACAATCCAGAAAGAGTAGGAAGAAGGTAGAAATATATTTTCGCCGACATCCTACAGTCCATAATTTCCACCTGGAAGCATGGCATTTTGAAGGATTTACATGACTTTGGTTTGAGGGGCCGTTTACCTCTTTTTATCTCACAGTTTCTAACAGACAGGCAATTTCAAGTCCGAGTTGGTTCAACCCTGTCTGACCATTATAATCAAGATCAGGGTGTCCCACAAGGAAGTATTTTGTCTGTGACATTGTTTAGAATAAAGATCAACAGTTTATCCAAGGTTTTAAATCATCACTTTTCGCGGATGATTTTAATATTTCTTGTCGAGGTAAAAATATGCATACTATTGAACGACAACTGCAGTTGTGTTTAAACAAAAATAAATGGTGTCTTGAAAACGGCTTTAAATTTTCTAAATCCAAAACTAATTGGATACATTTCTGCCGTAAATATAGACCACATAAAGACCCAGAACTGTCTGTAAATGTCACTCCTATCAAAGTTGTCAAGGAGGCCAAGTTCTTATAATTAGGTCTGATTTTCGACTCACATTGAACTTTTCTTCCGCATATCAAATCCCTGAAAACTAAATGCTGAAGGCACTCGATATATTGAAAGTCGTTTCTAATTCAAAGTGGGGAGGGGATCAAGCTACCCCCCTACACCTATATAGATCATTAGTCCGCTCGAAGCTTGATTATGGCTCCATCGTAAATGGTGGAGCCTGCAAAAGCAACCTTAAAATATTAGACTCTGTCCACCACCAAGGTCTGAGACTTTGCCTTGGATCATTTAGAACTTCTCCTGTTAACAGTCTCTACGTCGAGGCAGATGAGCCTTCTCTTACCCAACGCCGTATAAAATTATCATTACAATATATTACAAAATTATATTCTAACGAATCTAACCCTGCTTTCAACTGTGTCTTCAATCCCCCTCTATGAGGATTTATACAACAAGAAATATTCCCTTGTTCCGCCTCTTGGGCTCAGAATTAAACCATTTATTTCTGCTGCTGGCATTGATCTTGAAACTATATCTCCTTCCCGTCTTCTTTCTTCTCCTCCTTGGCAATTGGTGAGAAACTATTGACTTACAATATAAACAAGAATTTAATCAATTAAAAAGTAAATATAATACATACAAATTCTTATTTGCAGATGGGTCAAAGGATGGTGGTGCTGCTGCTTGTGCCACTGTCATTGTCAATATCTTCTCGAATACCTGATAACAGCTCTATTTTTACAGCACAAGCAAACTCCATACTAACAGCCTTAAAATATATTAAAAACACCCCAAATACAAACAATATATAATCTATCCAGACTCTCTTTCGTCTTCAGGCTATTCAAAATATTTCTTGCAAAAATCCACTTTTAATAGAAATTATTGAATTGTATAATGATCTTGCTACTGGCCAATACGACATCGTCCTCTGTTGGTTACCCAGTCACGTTTGCTTTTCTGGGAATACAATGGCCGATCTTGCTGCCAAGTCAGCACTCAACAAATCTGCGACACCACTTCTTATTCCATACTCTGATTATAAAGCTCTCATCAGATCTTATATCCGTGATCTAATGCAGAAGAAGTGGGACACCCAGGTAGGTATCAATAAATTACATGAAATAAAACCCTATATTGGTTACACCTACTTGGGTAGTCAGTCCAGATTTGAAGAGGTCATTATGCGACGATATCGTATTGGCCATACTAGATATACGCATGAATACTTGTTAAAAGGTGAGGATCCTCCGTTTTGTGGTCCTTGTGATGAAAGAATCACGGTCAAGCATATCCAGCTTGACTGTATTAATTTTTCCATTACGATGGATAAATATTTCACTTTTAAAACAGTGAAGGATCTTTTTAATGTAAATTACCATTTAATCATTGAATTTTTAAAAGAAATAGAATTGCTAGATAATTTTTTTTAAAAATGGTTTGTACATAGATAAGTATTATATTATTGGTAGTTTGGATTAGTAACTGGGATTGTTAGTGGCTGTACCCTCAAAGGGGGATTTGTATACGTAGTATTCTTGTTATTTTAATTTTGGCTAACATTTCTTACAATCGCCGACACCTGAAGGGATGGTGTAAATCAAACTAGGGTCCATGTAGGTAGCAAAGGTACTGTAAGTCCCCTTGGTCCCTAGTATGGTGATCTACCTTCAGTTGTTGGCGATCTATACCCTTTTTATATTGTATTGTCCATATAGTGCTATGAGTTTTAACTTTCCACGCTAGTTTTAATTCTTATTGTGATATTCTAGTTGTTTTACTGTCTTTTGACGACAGGTTTATATAATATACACATGTTTCATTCAATGTCAAATATGCTCTCGTCACGATATGGCTGAAATATTGCCGATGTGACGTTAAATCTTAACTCACTCACTCACTCACTCACTCACTCACTACAGAGACAGTACACATTCAAAAGCAGTCTAATACAAAAACAGTGCGTGAGTAAGTGAGTGAGTATGGCTTTACGCAGCTTATGGCAATATTCCAGCGGGGGACACCACAAATGAGCTTCACACAGTGTACTCATGTGGGGAATCGAACCTGGATCTTCGGCGTGACGAGCGAACGCTTTAACCTCTAGGCTACCCCACTGTCCTCTACAAGCAGTGAGAGGAACGCAAGTATCACCACAACGTCCTCCTCGGAGCGGAGGTTGGTTGTTTGGTTCTGGTTTAACGCCACACTCAGCACTCCTCCAGCTATATGGCGACGGTCTGTAAATAATCTAGTCCGGACCAGACACTCCAGTGATCAACAACATGAGCATCGATCTACGCAATTTGAAACGATGACACGTGTCAACCAAATCATTGAGCCTGACCACCGGATTCCGTTAGTCACCTCTTACGTCAAGCATGGGTTGCTGAAGACCAATTCTTACCCGGATCTTCATGGGTTGTTTCGTCTGGTATCTTACCGGGTAAGTTTGACATACCGGGTAGTGGGGTTGCCTTTTAGTTAATGCACTGGTTTCTCATGTCGGGGATCAACTTTATATTCCCACTGATTCCCACACGTGATATTGCTGGAATATTGCTAAAAGCGACATACAAATATTCTCACGTTATACGTCAGCGAGTTAAAGAACTGACTCTGTCCTCATGCGAGCTCAACAGGAACAAGTGCCGTTTTGAATATTTTTATTGTATCAAACAGAATATTTATTGACAAACAATATGATATGTATCCATTTAACAAAATGTCTGTTTAGTAAGTTCAAGATACATTGTATTTAACATTTCCATGTTATGCATGCTCAGAATTAAGATCAACAATAAGCAGTACTTTAGTTTATTAGGAGCCTTATTTTGTATTTAGGATCATGTCCGCCGCCTTCTCTCCTATCATGATGCTGGGCGCGTTTGTGTTTCCTGATATGACGTCGGGCATGATGGAGGCGTCAGCAACTCGCAGTCCAGCAATGCCCTTTACTCTGTAAAATATAACATTTAAACAGACATTCAGTCTAAGTTGCAAGTTAGATTGCAGCACAGACAGGTCAGTTCGGTACAGAGTGACAAACTATTTCCTCGGTTGACCAATTACGTTATTTTTGTGTCATCCAACATTTACCTTTCTCCCATATTGAGACATCAAGTTGATGCATGTTTGAGCAACATTACATTCAGCTAAGCTGTGGTTGCCCGTCCTAGGTGAGAGGTCTTATCAGGATGATAGGTTTGTAACTTTACATTTAAAAAGTACTATACAATTTGACTACCCAAACAACACGAAGGGCATTATATTATATTATATTATTGTAGATTTAAGAAATGTTTAAATATGTTCCATGTAATATGACTGTATCTGTACCAAAAGTCATAAATGAGTTAAAAGTTTCACAATTCAATCACCTCAGTTGAGGATCCACCACTGTAGTGGGGTCACTTGGCTTCCCCATCTTGCACGTGGTGGTTGGATGGTAGAGCGTTGTGGCCAGTGCCCGGATGTAACACTCCCAGTATGCATCAGTGTCGTACTTCATAGTGTTGCACGTCGGGAAACGCCTGTCATTAAGCTTGGCTCCTATTTCCTTGAAAGCCTTGGTCTGATGAAGTTTCTGGACGACGCGAATTCCTGGCAAACGAAAATCTGATCTACTGGATAGTTCAAGGTATAGTTTGGAGGGATATTTTCTTAAAGGAATCTGACGTTTGTTTGAAAAGAGGTTTAACTGACACACATGCAGTAGTCAATCTCACGTTATAGTGATGACACCTGATGTTTGTGACATGGGGAACATACCCTGTGTCCTGGCCAGCTATGCTTTAGTCTGGAACTTAGGTGGGACACACTTACATGGTCCCTTAAAATGATGTTGCATGAGCTTATAAAAGTGCATGTCCCTGTTAAATGTAGCTGCTTTGATCTTGAGTTTCTTAAGAACTGCTTTTCACCTCTAAGTAAGACCTTCATGTCATCAGGATGAGACAGGTAGTTGGGGTCGATGACAGGATACTCGAATGGGTTGGTGCTTCTTAGGCGGATTGTTCCAACGCTCTTTGGACGGAGTAGAGTTGGAAAGATCGTGAATCCTTCTTCGGTAGAAGTCCAGTCGAAATGTTCGACTATCTAAACAAAGAGCATACGATTGGTGTGCTGTCCCGAAGGATTATGCATTGAGATACGGTTCCCTTCTGATCAGATATCTACAGTTACTGACATGGCAACCATATTCATAAAGCCATATATGTCCATCGCAATCTATGTGGTATACCAGATACCGTCATATGTTCTTTGAGAGGCATTTAGAAGTTGGAGCAGTAAGGGCGGATAAGAATGCCTGGATGAACAACTTCTTTATTTCGTTGTATTACGTTTCGATGTAGGTTGTAACACCGTTATCATCTTTTGCTTGATAACGGTGTTACAACCGACACCAAAACGTCGCCCTCACTGTAATAAAGAGGTTGTTCATCCATATATTTCTATCCTTTCTTCCAGTCATATCTTGAAGGTAATGGTTCTAAATAGTTGACCCATGTTCAACCTATAACCTTCATGTATCGATCACATTATTTAATCGGTAGTTGTATCAAGTTTAGTTGGCTGATTCCAAAGCAAGGGCCCATGGATAGTTCCAAAAATATTTTCTTTTCTGTTGAAGGACAAAATCATTCTTGCCTTTTGGTCAATGTTAAACAGACGGGCGAGATGGCTATCCATGCAAGAACAGACGAAATGAAACTGAACATCTGGACTTGGCTCGTCGGATTTGGTCTTGACAAATGCCATGGCTTCCATACCGCCGCTTGAAGTGCGGTACCCTGAAATGAAAAGGAAGGAATAAGCTCTTATAAAGTACCTGCTGCGGAAAGTGTGGCACAATGTACAGATGGGAATGGAACTGACTGTGAATTTTGCGTGTGTGTGTGTGTGTGTGTGTCAGTACTCCATACCGAGATACCACATCGCAGTTTCACCTTGTTCATAAACAGTGTACTGATGACGATGATGTCCTTCTTTTATCCTTAATAATGAGAATCAGGTAGTTGGTTGGTTGGTTGGTTTTATAGTTTTAGGGCGACGTGGGCCAATAAGAGGCCTATTTGCGCCCAACACATTGACTTGATTTAATAATCAATCATAGGTAATTTCATTGCCAAAAGTATTCGTTTAGTTAGGATAAAAGAAACGACAACACTATTAATATTAATTTGGATAGATGTATACACATATCGAATAACCTCTGCTTTGTGTTACGGATTAAAAAACCTTAAGTAATCACTTCCATTTCTGAAAACAAGCAGTAGGTTCAGATGACAGAGTGTTAAAATGAATTAAAACCACACAACTAAATCTGTCTAAGCCATTCGAGAGCCTGTCTAGATTACATCATATTTTCCAGATGACGAGACAAAATCTAAAACTGCCCGTTGCACAGACCCATACATGATATTGGGGCCCCAAAACTGTTTCTAATGAAAATACACCATCAACCTCAAGTATAGCACTTCTGAGATTATGTCTATGTTGTTATGCCCAGGGCATGTAATTAGATCATGTTCGATATTTTCAGGCGGCTCCAAATTGCAATGGCCACATCATTTAGAAGAGGCCGTCTTATCTATAATACTCCTGTAAGCATTTAGCCCACAGTGTCTGAGACGTGAAAGATTAACCTCATCACCCCTTTTACGACGACGAATTTTATGACCAGATTTTAAAGATGGTTTAAGTTTGTACATATGTCGGCCGGTAGTACCTGTATCCCACAACTGTTGCCAACTCCTTGTAACAGATTTCGATAAAACAATTTCAAAATCTTTAGGGACTGGTTGAAAATTAAATAAATCAACTTCAGGAAACTGTAATCCGGATTTGGCCAAATTATCTGCAATCTCAGTTCCCATGTATTCAAACGTGCTGGGACCTACACAATGTCTCATGCAATGTACTTCATGTTTAAAGATGTATCCAACTTTAATATCTCATGAACAATGTCATCTCTAGATCCATTTGCACCAGCTTCTATAGCTTTGATTGCACCCATGGAATCTGTAAAGATAATTGCTTCATGGCCATGTTCTTCTACCCATCTCAATGCTTGCAAAATGGACAAAAGTTCAGCTGTAAAAACAGAAAGATAATCAGGGAATCTGAACACCTTAGCGATCGATAAATGTGGTATCCAAAAACCCCAGCAGTACGATCATTGGATGGTTCTTTCGATGCATCAGTGTATATATGTGTGAAATTAGAATAATTTTCAGACAGAAAGTCTTGAGTTATCACTTTTATTATGTTTTGGCCATTCTCTTATTCACGATTAAACTCAGTTCAGAATTCAATCCAGGCTTCAGCATAAGCCACGGAGGTGTGAGAGGCGGAGCAGAAGGATCAACTCGGTTACAGTTGTAAATACCATGTTGATCAGCTAATCTCTGTATATTCAAGCCAAAGGGTAATTTGCCATGAGTCAAGTCACACATGACATATGCCACACATTCATTAACAATCGATCAGTGACTGCATGGTGTTTGTTCTTGGTTTTCATTTTTAAGAAATATTTCAAAGATACCCGTTGTCTTCGAAGGTGAAGGGGCATTCTGAACACTCAACTTGAAGCGCTGAGGTTGGAGTTGTAGAATAGGCCCCAGTGCATATTCTCTCAGTTTTAGACTGAATTCTATCAAGCTTATTAAGATGACATTTAGCCGCAGACATATACACATGGCAACCATAGTCAAGTCTGGACAAGATAAGGGCCTTGTACAGCAATAACATAGTTGACTTATCAGCATCCCACTTTGTTTTTTAAATACACTTTAATAGATTGATGATCTTCTTACATGTGTTATACAAATGTGTGATGTGGTGAGACCATGTTAATCTTTGATCAAAATACACACGCCCCCAAAAAATGAACACTGACACCATTTCCAGTTTATGGTGTTTTGAAATCTTTTGAAATCTTAAACCCCCATTTTGAAAACCATGTACTGACTTTACTTAAGCAGGTTTGTATAGATTCTAAGACAAACTGAAAATTACCAAAGCGTCTCCAAAACGATCCGTCATCAGCAAACTGAGCTGCATTTATGTTTAGAGGCAGGTCCTCGAAAATGTCATTGATCATAATATTAAATAAAACTGGACTTATTACACTTCCTTGTGGGGTACCATTTTCAATCATATGCACGCCTGACAGTTCTTGACTTATGCGAACTTGAATGGTTCTTTCGGACAAAATGACCATATCCACTTGAACATGTTGCCTCAAATTCCCAGTTTCCACAATTTACAAAGCAAACCATTTCTCCAAATCATGTCATAAGCCTTTTCGATATCAAGAAATACACATAACATGTATTCCTGGTTGCATAAAGCTTTCTGTGCTTCAGTTTCCGGACGAACATGTTGATCTATACATGAACGCCCCTTTCTGAATCCTGACTGGATGTGGGTAAGAAGCTCATTTCGTTCAAGATAATAGTTCAGGCGATTAGTAACTATTCTCTCCATGATTTTACATAAATTAGAAGTGAGAGCAATCGGTCTATATGATGCAAGAAGCGATGGATCTTTTCCTCGTTTGGGCACTGGAACTACTATTGCAGTCTCCATGTCCTAGGTAAGGATCCAGAACACCATCTTAAGTTCAACAGTTCCCGAATAACAGTTAGAGTAGAATCTGGCATATGCTTAAACATTTCATAACTCATCCGCACCTGGTGCCGAATTATGTGTTCTTGATATGGCTGCCTTAAGTTCATCATGAGTGATAGCTGTATTGATTTCCCAGCTACTTTCCAACATGGCTAAAGACATTTGAGGCATAAAGTTTGTTTCAAAGACTTGTTTATATTCTCTGAATTCATGACAATAATTTTCAGATTTAAATTGTTCAACAAGTGTATTTACTTTCTGACTTTTTGATATGAGTTCTCCAGCTTCTCCCATTACCGGTAAAGGTAAAGGAATATTATTTCCACCGATCGTTTTCACTTTGGACCAGATACTAGTTAATGATGTAAATCTATTAATATTAGAAATATATTCCCTCCAGCTGAATCGTTTTGTACTCCGTACAATACGTTGGAACGTAGCTCGTTTCTTACGAAAATCAGCCAAATCACATGGCAATGACGAGTGGCGAACCTTATTATATGCCTTTTCCTTGCGATATTGGCTTATTCAAAGCTGTCATTCCATTAGGACTTTGGCGGGAATGCCGCTTTCTTAACAGACGATTTTCCAATGGACTCTTCTGCAATTCTTATTTATTGTGTTGTGAAATTTTCCTTAGACAAATTAACATCACCATTTATAAGATCGGATGTGATATGTTCAGCACACAGACAAGAAAAAAGTGCCCAATTAGCCTTCTTGAATTTCCACCGAGGGACATTATCACAAGAATCACGATATGGTCGAACCTGAATTTCAGTAAAAACAGGAAAATGGTCACTACCTAACGCATCTTCCTGAAATACAGCTTTGTGCCATAAATGAAGGCAGAAATGACCGCGGAGAGTTTAAAGAAAACGATTCGTTATTTCGGCGCATTGTTGTACCGCGCTGTGTTACCTTTACCGATATTGACGTATATTTTTAGATAGTGGATCACGTGCGCGTCACGTGACCGTAATTTCCGGTTAGAATGTCGTCTGCTTGTTTACATTCACGGCGGTAAACAAGATGCCTCCAAAACGAAAAGAATTGGACATTAGCGTAAAAGAATCAATAGTAAAATTGTATGAGCACGGGAAGAAACCTGCAAATATTGCAGAATTACTTGATTTATCGTCATCAACTGTCTATCATGTGATTCATCGGTATAAATCGCGTGGTTCTGTGGAAAACAAGCCAAGAACGGGAAGGAAGAAAATTTTGACTCAGAGGGACTCGCGCAAAATTTTTCGGATTTTAAAAAATTCTCGTCGGCGATCTTTGAAGGATATTACCAACATATTTAATGAGGACAACAACAAGCATGTGTCATACAGAACTGTTCAAAGAAAATTGTATTCTGAAGGATTTCATAGACGTGTAATTCGAAAGAAAATCAGAATCAGGAAAGTGAACATTAAAAATAGATTAGCATGGTGCAGGGGAAAATTACATCGATCTGTGGACACATATTGGAACAAAGTCATATTTAGTGATGAGTGTAAAGTGATCATTGATGGAAAGGAAAAAGTATTCATTTGGAGAAAAGTTGGTGAACAGTGGGCCCCCCAGTGTTTGGGTGTTCCCCAAACCCCTACCCTATCTTTGATGATTTGGGGTTGCATTACATACCATGGTGTGGGAACTGTAGCCGTTGTAGAAGGTAACATAACTGCTGAGAAATATGTTGAAATTATAGATAACAATATTTGGCCAGTTATTGCTCGTCATTTTCCTGATGACCAATACATATTTCAAGATGATAATGCCCCAGTCCATAGGGCTAGAACTGTTCAAGTTTACAAGACAGAAAATAATTTAAAAGGCATGTAATGGTCAGCCCAAAGTCCGGACTTGAACATAATTGAAAATGTGTGGCATAGGCTTAAGAGAGAATTGCAGTGTCGCACCTATCGCATACATTCAAAAGAGGACCTTGCAGCAGCAATTCATGAGGTGTGGACGTCTTTGCCGCTTGCATACATAAGAAACTTGTATTTAAGCATTCCAAAGAGGATACGTCAAGTTCTTGTGTCTAAGGGGTATATGACAAAATATTAGGTAGGAACATTCAAGTTTCTTTGAAATAGTGCAATTAAAATTGAGTTGTCAAATTGCGACAAGCACGCCGCCATCCATTTTTGCCTTCATTTATGGCACAAAGCTGTACATCCTGGTTACACTTACTGGGCATGTGTGATGATATCATTGATAGATCTAAAGGAGAAAAAGTCCATTTGCCAAGATCCAAGCGGGTCATTTTACCATCGTTTAAAAGGACAAGATCTGCTTCATCTAAAAATTGTTCAACAATCCGACCATTATAATCCGTCTTGCTGCTTCCCCAAAACATATTATGGCTGTTAAAGTACCCACAGATAAAATATGGGCCTCCATTGGGATCAATTAATTTCAGATATTCATCAACGTTTGGCTTACCTGTATTATAAATATTAACAATGGTAATGGCTTTATCTTCCTCATAATGAATATTTACTGTGTACCTTTTAACGGAGTAGTCTGTCCTGACGGAGACCAAGATAGACATTAATTCTAAAATGACTCTCTGGCCAAAGCAAAGTTTCCTGTACACAAATAATATCCGGCAGTGGTGACCTATTTGATAGAAAATGCTTTAAATTATCCCCATGTGCAATAAGACTTTGTGCATTCCATTGCATTATGGTCAGGAATACTAAAGCCTTATCCATTATTCATCTCAACATGTGCCTCACTCAACAGATCACTAGGAACATCGATGTGAAGATGTATTTTTGCCGCCGACACAAGACGATTAATCTGTTCCTCTTTGGTTGTTGCATTAAAGCATCCTGAAATCACCTCAAACAAGAAAGCTAAGAATGTTTGAGGAGAAGTACTAAGAAATGGATTGGCTACCTGTGGAGAGCTGACTTGAGCTGTAACAGGTGGATTTGATACACTCTGGTTTAAATCTGACTCTCGTGACTGACATTTACAAATACAGGTAGGGTTAGACCCAGATCTAGCTGCAAGAGGAACAGGACGGGTTCCAACTGTTGATTGCGAGGCTTGTACCGACACAGATCGTGATTTCTGAGCGGCGGTTACAGTAGCTGCATAAGATGGAGTTGGAGTGGACTTGGCTATACGAGTTGCTTCAGCATAGGTTAGTTTACTCTCTACTCGTACCCTTTGCACAGATACTGCCTCCTTGTTTTTCTCACATTCCTTGTAGGCAGCACTGTGGCTACCACCACAATTGCAACACTTCGAAAATTATTTTCTCATGCTGATAAACCTTTTGAAACTTGTCTAAGCTCCATATTTCTTTATGGCACATAGTCACATTGTGGCCTTTAGAAGATTGCAATAGGTCATCTTATCCAATCAGTTGTCTGTAAACAAATTCGTGGAACTGTTCTACTTTAACGAATGGTGAGAGACGTAGGGACGTTGCAAATAATGGAATGACTGTTTGACTCTATAAAGTGTAAATGTGTCTTTGTTTGGAAATGACCTGTTTATTTCTTTACTTGGTAATGTGCAAGGGATGTATCCTTCAATAGTTCCGTTAAGGAAATAAAGCATACCTGATCTGAATGCATAATATTCGAGTAAACTAAGGAATGATTCTTTCTTCTTCTGTGTGAGGGAAAGAGGCTTCTGAATTGTCGACACCATTGGGAGACACATGTGGTCCTGTAAGTTTTCACCAACTGGGAGGTTTGCTATAACTGGTATCTGCAAATTAAAAGCAATATTCATTAAACGTAACAGAACTATTTCCATAATTGTATGAAACCTTTCGGGAACAGTGTACGATTCCGACCGTACCTTAAACATGCGTTCATATCAATCACAATCAAGTAGTGGTGATATCAAGTCTTCGCGAAAAGGTCTCTCCTCAACTGTGTTACAAGCCTGTCCGAAACACATACAAAGAAAGAAAGTTCAATAAGTAGAAGCATCACCAACGCCAACGTAGTAGTTAGAGACCCGTGAAGATCCGGGTTAGAATTGATGTTCAGTAACCCATGCTTGTCGTAAAAGGCGACTAACGGGATCAGGTGGTCAGGCTCGCTGACTTAGGTGACACATGTCATCGTGCCCCAGTTACGTAGTACGATGCTCATGCTGTTGATCACTGGATTGTCTGGTCCAGACTCGCCATATAGCTGGAATATTACTGAGTGTGGGGTTAAACAACAATCAATCAATCAACGCAGTAGTAAGGCTTGCCAGCATACAAAATGAGAAAAATAGATTTGCTACACAAAGGATGTAATCTGAAATGAAGTTTATTTCAGTAGCTTCTAGTCAAAATGTTAAATATCTCAAAATTGCGGAAACGCGTTTCTAAGTAACTACTTAGACACATATAGTAAATTCTATTACATTTTGAACAAATATGTTTGAGTCATTTGACATCACATCTATCAAGAGCTGATTCAGCTATTTTTCATCACTATTTGGGCCAATGCTTGTTTCATCAAGGAATAAACCAGAGATGATAACTTTGGAAGAAATCTTCCAAAACCATCTTGGAGTAGTGTCAACTTTTACTTGACTCATTCCACTCTCTTTTTTAATTTAAAAGCTAAAAAAACACGAAAGCAAGCAAACGTATATCGAAATCCATGTCTCTATAACCATAACCATCATCTTTAATATTACCAAGGAAGGTATTTCTTTCTCTTTAAGAAACGTGGCATCAATTTCTAATACATATCCAGTTCTCAAAAACATTAAGGAGTTGGTCGAATAGCAGAAGTCTCAGAAAAAAACCAGGTTCAATTCTGTCAAAAAGAGTTACAGCACTATGCAACTTTTAAACAACTGCATTTCTCTATCCATGGGGCATGCGTAACAAAAATGGTGACCAAAACTGTAATTACATCGCATTAAGAAGTGATATACATAAAAGGGGAGTTTTTTCACAACATTCCACACAAATGTCCTCGATGTCCGAATAAAACTCATATTTTATATATTTTCATCCTTATCAAAACGCCCTGACCCTCTGAAAGTAGATATGTCACCATAGATATGGACGGTGGAAATGCATAGATGTCTCCTTCTGATTGGTGCCTACATGTCACCTCTTACAGACTGCCTGTACGCTACCCTCTATCTTCACGCATTACTGAAATCTTTAAAGCAGCATTCGAAGAATTAATCCCCATTCAGCACCCTGTCAGGCACCAGATATCCCAAATCATCAAGTACAAAACAAACACAGACGTCACCTTTTCTGCCAATAACCGTAGGCACCAACAGCTCAAGTGCCAACCCCGGAGGATGTATCAACTAGATTCCCCGCAGTTGGGGTGACCAATAGATTGGCGACCCCTCAGCATGAGTCTCAAAGTACATTTGACTTATTTCAAGAAACCCGACTAGAAATCCACCATTTCAAAACATTAGCAAAACACCAAGACCACAAATTGCTGTGACGGAAGGCCTTGGAAGGATATGGATTCAAATAACAGCTAAAGGGAGATAACTTGTGTAACCTTAGTGCACATGTCCAGAAATGATGGGAGTTGCTTCGGGTCCCATGATGAACCCCACTTCGGAGCCCCCATTCATATAACTATTTGTCCATTGTGTCAAATGGTATACGTCTGATGACTGGTTATTCTCTTGAAGCAACATTGTATATTATATTCGGAGTCAAATAATGCACCATAATTACTGATAAAAATAAACTGCATGTTGAGATTGCTGAGGTTTCTCACCTTCATGTCTTCCAAATGTTTCTTTGGTCCTATCCCAGACAACATCAGCAGCTGTGCTGACCCTATTGCACCGCCTGACAGGATTACCTCCCCTGATGCTCTCACTCTGTGGAGGCGGCCATCTCTGACGTACTCAACACCAACTGCTGTCTTCTGGTTTATTATTACCTGGTGAGAGCAATTTGTCAAACTCATGAATGAAGGAATGAGTGAATGGAGGAATGAATGAAGGAATGAATGAGTGATTTTGGCTTTATGCCGCTTTTAGCAATATTCCAGCAATATCACGGCGGGGGATACCAGAAATGGGCTTCACACATTGTACCCATGTGTTGAATCGAGCCCCGGTCTTCGGCATGACGAACGAACGCTTTAACCGCTTGATTACCCCACCACAACAAATGAATGAATGAATATTACCTTTGTGACGTGACTGTTGACCAGAACGTGCAAATTCGGCCTGTCTATCACTGGCCACAGGAACCTCTTGGAAACACTCATACGTTCACCATTCCCGATTGACACCTGCGATCTGCTAAATCCTGAAAAACGTCCACAGATCTAAGAAATCATTCAAAGCTAAGCAACATGAACAGAATTTAATCAATAGAGTGCTTCAGATGTAATGCATATGTTGTTCGCAGTGGTTAAGTTAGAGGGCTCTTCGAAACTATTTTAAATGCATTTTGCCGGACATATTTATCAAATGCGTTTACGAATGTATACCCTTTATGTTGAAAAAAGACACAATAGTCCAATAAACACAAACTGACTGATACACTTTCTGACTAACACAAACACGCGCAGATCTATAAGTAGAAGCACAACTACACAAACAGTTCGATAAGGACATCCAGAAATTCATGTGGATGGGGAAGATACACAAAGTAATGAAAAGCCCCGACTTACGTTCATATTCATGCATAGACATGACAACAATGCAGACACAGACAAACACCACACACACGTCTTCGCTTTCATACACTTGCCTTCCTGGTTTTCTCCATTGAAGTCTGTTTCCTTGTAACCGAGTTCAGTCCCCGCCTTGACGAAGTAGTCAGCGATCGGAAATGCATTCACTTCCGTCACAACCAGCGGACCCCCGTGACCATGATATTCTTGAAAATGATTAGCAGCCGTAATCTTACTATCTAGATTGCAAACGTCTTTAATATACTTTCAAAGGTAGCCCTAATTACATAAAGAATTACTCATGTAATATAAGTCAAAGCATAACCCGACAAGGACACCTAATATTGGAACCTTTTCCCTCTTTTATCCGAAGTGTGCGATTACATATGGTAAGACTACAGAATACCGGATACCTTCCACCATCTTTGAAAGCACGCGAGTTTACTTAGGGTTAGGATAAGGTTTAGGGTTAGGGTTAGCTTTAGGGTTAGGGTGACATGACACTAAACAGTATGGCTGGTAGGTATCCGGTATTCTGTAGGTGTACCTTATATGTTTTCTACACACATAAAGCAGAAACGCTGTATGTCATTAACCTTGTATTGCGTGGCAATCTACAGCCTCTGTAACTTTGGGCCTCCTACGGACTTGAACGTAAAATGTTCAATGTGGCATTAAATCCACTTTTATAATGTAAGATACTAGATAAAGGTACGTAGTGGTAATATTAACATGAGGAATTTGTAATATAAATGTACACGGTTTTACAATTACCTGATGTTTTTAATCTCTCAATTTGTATGTCTTGCGACTTTTTAAAGTACGGGAGAACATCTTGGTAACTCCATCCATCACCTCCTTTGGCAGCCCAGCTATCGTAGTCAAGGCGATGACCTCTGATGTACTGCATATAATTTAACTGACTGCTTCCTCCCAAGACTCTACCACGTGGCCATGCTCCCCTCTGAAAAAAACATTCAGTCCTCAGGAATACTAATTTAAATATATATTTAAGTATAATATTGTTCACAATCAAACAGTTTTCTCTTACCATTTTGACCATGTCAAGGGATCATCACAGAACAGGAATAAAAATTAATGTGTACTTGAAACTAAAATGAAAACATGGCTATAAAACTTATAAGACATGGCCTTTTTCTATAAAACGGAAAAAACTTTCACGTTTACAAAGAAATCTCAACCCAAAACAGAATGTGTCTGTAGGATCCTGATTGTGTCTTAAATATATGTCTACGAATCTCTATGATACCAGGTGTCTGCCAAAAGGTGTGTGTGTACTGTCCTGCCCTTGGAATACCTCACGAACACATGCAAAGGCAAGTCATGTGTTACTTAAAACGAACACAGGATCAGGCAGGTCATAATGGGGAATTGCATTGGACATAATGTTAAATATGGAAATGCCTTTCATGTTTTGTTTAGCACCTTAAAATATTTTGAAAGCTTTACTGACGCCTTGAATGTTGCGACCTTTATCACACAACCTTAAAGAAATTTTTTTTTTAAGTTTGGTAGAAAGAGTATGCACAGCACGAAACTAGAAACTATGGTACGCATCGTCACGGATAATTAAAAGTAAAATGTTCATGTGCGGTCACAAATGTTTCAAAGCCAATTATATGTATGAACACAACTGTATTTGCATGTGAATACTTGGACACACGATCAATAATAACTGCACCGTCGACCTTCACAGAAATGGGGCAACGTTTGCATGCTACCACAGACTGATCAGTTGACCTTGCCTTGTCTATTAGTCCTAAATGGGCATGTTGCTGGGGTTCAGTCAAATAGGCCCAGTCAAATTTTCCTTTCTGGTTCGAGGTTAGGAACAGAGGAGTGTCCAGTGTCTCCTGGTTTCGGTCATCACCACCAGCCTCAAGCAGCAGGACATTCACGTGACCATTCTCGGACAGACGGGACGCCAGAACAGATCCTGCAGACCCTGCCCCAACTGTGAAATAGAATAGATTTTGTTTCTTGTACACAAAAAGAACACTAACCATAATCATTTGCAGATTCCGTTGAACATTAAGGCCATAACTGAACTACACAATACAATATTAATATAACATTATCCTACAGCTATTGTTCATAGTCAATAATACAGCTAGTCAATAAAAATCCAAATGTTGGTATCCAATATAGTAGTCGTTTGACGATGAACGTCAGAAATACTTGAATATTTGAATTTTACCTATGATATAGTCATAAGACGTTCTCAGATCGGGAGATAGAACTCCTTTGTCGTCCTCTGGTACGGCAAAGTATCTGAAGACGATGCCGAGGATCGCAACATTGACGACAAGGAACAGAGACGTCGTTGAAAAGGCCATGGTCTTTTATTCTATTCTGAAAGACAATTATGTCTGAAAATTGGAAAAAGTGCCATAATAGACGGTTGTTGTGAAAAATCTACCCCCATTTACAGCTGGAACATTGTTTTTGCTTTTCAAGAAAAAATCAGACCTGTAAAACATTTCAAAATTGGTTCATGCCTGAATGAAAAACTAAAATCACTCTTTATCTTTGTTGTCATTTTCTAAAAACAACATTGTCAACCGCGTTCAGAATGGAACCTCGTAGGTGCGTTTCTGATCAAAAGGAACAAATGATTGGAATCGTACGGTATCCCCAGTGACTTTGTTCGTTGTGGGTCATTTTTCTCGATGGTGTGTGGAACGTTGCCTTGCGACAGACAGACAGGGGCCTATGGAAATGAATGGGAAATGCATGCACGATCAAATAGTGTGGTTGTAGATTTCAGCGTGAGATTCAACTAATAAAGATAATGTTCCATGTCAAGATTCCTGCGATGACCTTGTTTTGTGCTGATTGACTGATTCGCTTGCACCAGGGCAAGCTGACGCAGGATTTATGCATGTATGTTACATATGACGCTTTTAAGGCACAAATACCATACACATCAATAATTTCAGCAATTCTACGCTATGACACACGTTGAAATGATCATGAAATACTCAGGGTAAAACTTACATAATCGTTGTGTGCCTCCTACCGTGAGCAGCAGACAGCGAGCTCTGTGTTACACACGTCAGGCTACACTGAGATAAATGAGCTATGTTGATAAGCCAAGGTCATAAACACAAGTCATAACTAGACCTGGTGTTTACATTAAACTTTAATGGACTTTACTCGGTGACAAGTATTCTGAACCTTAAAATGATCCAGATTTGAAGACACCTACGTGCAAACAATCAACCCTTTCCTAAAATAAGATGTATGTGCATATCAAAAGCATGTCTCCGCCTGTTCAAGGCCGTCTGCAGTCAATGTCGAGCTGCCCCGTCTCAGCAAAGAGGGAACCAGTCTATCCTAAAGGTGATTTATTCGGCCTGTTGTAGTACAGTTGTCAGTGCCTGCTGTGGCGAAGTGAGGCTGTGGGTGACACTGTTGTATTTGTCTATCCAAATACAACAGTGTATTTGTTGTATAGGTATGCCGCTGTGTGAAAGATGACATTATCAGACAGGTATACAGCACACCCACACCTCCAACCCACACTACCCCCTACACACACACCACACACACACGCGTACGCACATGCTCACATCCACCACAACCCATTCTGACGGAACTAAAATGTTAATCTAAGATAATATAATAAGAGAATAAATAAATAAATAAGAGAACTATGTGTGAAACCCAGAAACAACAACGAAATGTGTTGAAATTAACAAATGTATTCTAAAATCCACTAACTGCACAGATCAATACAAATTTATCACTATGGCAGTACAAATTGGTGTACAAGAATAAATAACACACGACCAGTGAATATGGCAATACTGAAAATGATGGATATATTCACCTCCCAGCAACAGTAACCCAACTTGCAACTAGGGCTTAGCAGGGAATGATCTTCACACACAATGCTGGTCTGCTGGTTATGTGAGATGAGAGGCAACAGCTAGGCCCTATTGATGACTCTACGGTTATAATATACAACAGGTGAAACATTGTTGCACATCAATAGTTTGTCATCATACTCAACCGGATATTTGCTCATCAATTTCATTCACAATATTGTCTTGTTCAGACACATTAACAGACTGCTTCCATATAGTCTGGGATATGTTAAGTCGGAGCTACAAAACTGCATGCCAAGCAAAAGAAAAAAGAGGCACCTCGGACGATTGGGCCTTGTAAGACCTGGAATGATTGGGGGCTAGTCTAGTTGCCTCCGATCTCGGCGGAATTCAGAATTGTAATTACTCAGGGCTCATTTTAGAATTTTTAGATACATATTGAGTTATAGTAGTTCTTACTGCAGAATCTCGATGTCAGTGGAACAGATTTCAACCCTTCGCAATGGTCCTTGAGGGAAACAAATTGACATAGGATTATTACATAAAGGGTTAAATGATGGCGAGTAAAGACAAGAATACGCCCGAAGAAGTAATGAGCTACATAAGGATGATTTTGAAGTATCAATTCACACTTGAATACATTAATTAGCATTAACAGAACATATCCACAATTGATATATTTCGTTATTGTACCTACTACTTTTAATTTTCATTTAACCAAATTGGTGATACTCATGCTATGAATAACATTGTATGAAGTATCCTCTACTCTTCCCCGCCTTCAGAGTCATTCGTCAGTACTCGCCCCTTTCCGTAACCTAAATAAAGCTATTCGGCTTGTGCCGGAATGACAGGAAGTGGTCACGAATGCTTCTCCTAATACTTTCAATACCATCCACGTGTTCGTTATAGCCATGATTCATATACGTATTTTATAACATCCAACAGGAGACTTCTGGGAAGCAACTGTTCGCCGTTAACTCCGTTATGTTAATGTCGACCTGATGGCTCATTTGATCAAGCTTGGTATCCTCAAATTCGTTTATTGCGTGTCATCGTACCTCGATGTCGTAGATCATTGATGAGATCACGTTTGTTTGGTCAAGCCAAATAATGTGTCTTTTAAGGTTTTGAGCGTCAACTACTACATCTATAAATCGCTGCATCAGCAGTAGCAAATGACGAGGTGTCACTCCCCGGTCACGCCGAGAGGTCGAGTATTAGCTGCACCAGGATCAACAGGGGACACCACAACGGCCGCTACCTGACGGGCAGGTACTACCACCCGTCCGACCAACCCTCAGTCGATAATACCTAGGAGCTGATAACGTTTGTGCAGAAAATGTAGCGACCATGCATTTATTTCACCAGTTGGTACCAATGACGCTTATGAGACAGGTGTCTACAACATCGATACCAATACGTAGACTTGGTAATAATCAGATGGTAGGATGGTAGAGACGTACCTAAGAAACACTGTTGCCACGCACCACCGAACTGCGTCCAACGGCCAGCTGCAAATACACATAAAGGGTCGAACAATACCAATGCTCTATAGTACGATTACTGTATGTGAGAAAGACTCAATTTCAAGCTTATCAAGGATGTAATTTTCTTAGTCCAAGTCTTCTATGTTTGTAAGAAGAGTCCAGTAAATGGAGTCGTTAGAAACGATCGGTGGAATACCAACCACTTATTTGTCTGATCAAGACACTAAACCAGATGCATGACCTAACTTGCATGACGGCAATGAGATTAGGTTCAGGACTTTTATTTGGAGTTACATTTGTATAATTGAAGTTTGACAAATCACCATTTATCAAACATCTCTGTCACGTTATCCTCGACAGCATCGCACATACTCTGATGTCGAGGCCTACTCTAACATATAGAGTGTGCATCGACTGACTGACTGCCTGGGTTTGGTTTTACGCCGCTTTTAGCAATATTCCAGCAACATCACGGCGGGGGACACCAGAATGGGCTTCACACGTTGTGCCCATGTGGGGATTCGAACCCGGGTCTTCGGCGTGACGAGCCAACGCTTTAACCATTAGGCTACCCCACCGCCCCCGAGTGTGCATTGAAGTATAAAGGCACAGTTTGCATGATCATGAGTAAGTGATGTAAAATCTAATTCACTGTTATCACTATGGCACCATGAGAAAAATAACAATGAGTGGAAGAACAGCTGATCATTTGTAAATACTCAGGACTCAGGTCCACAGGTGCAATATTGTGGGAAAGAAACATTCCATTAAACGGTTTCTTGACGCCAAATATGCACGTGCGCAAATCACAAGCACGTGTAGGTGTGTCATCTAACAAAAAATATTAACACTTTCACACTTTACAAACATATTACTATATCGCCAATCGTAACAGAAATACATGTAACACGCCACAAGATAGTCCTGAAACTGGCCACACTGACTTCGTTACAGACTTCAACATGCTATTTTGAAAGAAAATGTTTTTCGAAAACTCAAAATCTTATGTCTCTCATAGGCGAGAATTGTTCCCTTGCTCAAAATCCATCCTTTTTTGTTTGCAAATGAATGAGAGTGTGTCTACAAAGTCCGTGACACATAATTCAGCTTATTTTAACTTAATTAAACTGACATTATTATCATACTTAGAATATCTTACATATGTTATATTTTGGATTACACTTTCTTAGTAAAGTACAGATTCTAGTACTTTTGTTGGGTTGAGTCCCATCCGGGATTCGAACCCACACCCTCAGAGTCAGGCACCTAATCGCCAGCACACAAAGTCAGCCGCCTAACCCGCCCAGCCACCGCGACTTCCACAAAAAATTTAAGTGGGACAACTGGTAGTCTAGACTGCGGACTTTGTGTACCCCCCTGATAAGCACTTTGTGTGTTGGCGATTAGGTGATAACGTCATCAAATGTACAATACGAGCTCATTCTACTCGCACAATTGATGTTGGCAACGGGTTTTGAATTTCTAAACAAACATCATCAAACGTGGTTATAATTTCATAACCGTTCATAATTTAGGGGGTGGGGGGCGTGATGATGATTTGTAAAGAGAATGTGAAGAATCACCCCCCACCCCTCACCACCACCCCTAGATTGTATGTCCACAAACTAACACAGAGCAAAATGGGTGACACCACCAGCCCGACCATCCACCCCATGCCCCATATATTATGTACCAGCTAAGTGGCCGTCAAAACTTACTTCCGGATACAGATAACCGTGTTTTTGGATAAGTGTTACATTTCATATCGAAGATGTTTCATTCTAAAATAGGGGCGGTGGGGTAGCCTAGTGGTTAAAGCGTTGACTCGTCACGCCGAAGACCCGGGTTCGATTCCCCACATGGGCACAATGTGTTAAGCCCATTTCTGGTGTCCCCCGCCGTGATATTGCTGGAATATTGCTAAAAGCGGCGTAAAACTAAACTCAGTCAGTCAGTCATTCTAAAATAAATATCGTCTGGAAGGCAAGGTTTCCGGATAACCCAGGTTCGACTGTATATTCTAATTCGGGATCCATATAGTGCTCTGTCAGCATGCTGTTTACGATTTCAAACGGATAACAAAAGTCGATCTCAGGAACGTTGTAAGAGCCTTGACTTCGCAAGAATAACTTGCTGAGTCACGCGATAAAATGTCCACGTGTACAAAGTAAGGACGACTCACGCAGTGCAACACTCCTAACAGCTTTTCATATCTTTTTAAAAATCTGTGCTCCAATTTAGAGAGCGTACAAATGACAGAAAGCAACGCCCAGCGCCTGATAAACAACTGCCTCGACCGTTTTGAGGTCAGTTATTGTTAACAACAAGTCAACAACCTCCCCCGAGATATAAGCAATGTCAAGGTATATTGCGCAACATGCACAAGCTTGTCTCTTTCCAACAACACACAGATGGTGACTATAACATCGATACGCATGACATGCCCTGGCCAAGGAACAACGCCAGGCAAACGTTGAAAACATAACTGCAATTTAACCTGGCCGTAATCTTCTAAGACCGTTAGCTCTAAGTCACCACGTACCACTTGTCCTTGACTGAAATATGACGTCACAGTCCCCCATTGCCTCCCTACTGTTATAAGTAAGTTATCGTGACTACCGGCTCGGTTTTCACCTTGATCAATGTCATCAAAAAGCCAGGTCGTCGTGACATAAACTGCGAAAGAGGTAACACTAGGCTTCTGATAAAGGGCATTTATTACACTATAAAACAATACAAATTCTCTACACTACAACCAATAAAATATAAAATAGTAAAATACAGGGCACACATAAGCGTTCATTTAGGAGCTTTCTTCTCGATAAAAACTACCCAGGTGGTACAAGACCAAAGAAAAAAATATAACATTATTATTAGATAGGTAGAAGCTCGTCCCCAGCGGCGGATGAGTCACAGTAGATACAGTCTCCTTTATCTGACAGTGCCAGGTCGGAGACCGAACTCAGCAGGGAGAGTACGAGTTTGTGAATATATTCAACTACACGGTGAGCTACTAGCTGATGAAGGAAGGTAATGGTTTTAGATATCGGTAATATGTATCTTTAGAACGTGACACGGTATCGAACTGCCAATTTTTAATATAATGGTTTTCCAGAGCTTGAGTGAGTGAGTTATTATTTAACGTCACATCGGCAATATTTCAGCCATATCGTCCAGAGCTTGAGTGAGTGAGTGAGTTATTATTTAACGTCACATCGGCAATATTTCAGCCATATCGTCCAGAGCTTGAGTGAGTGAGTGAGTTATTATTTAACGTCACATCGGCAATATTTCAGCCATATCGTCCAGAGCTTGAGTGAGTGAGTGAGTTATTATTTAACGTCACATCGGCAATATTTCAGCCATATCGTCCAGAGCTTGAGACTTATCGCGGCTTTCATAATAAAAAGACGATGAAACTACTTCCGTGACCCCACAGCTGTTCAATATTGACTGTATGTGACATAGCCATGGATATACATGAATGTTCAATAAATTCTGTCAATTGATGCATGGCAGTGTTCCTGTTACTGTTTTCATATGATCACTTGTTAAATGGTACAATATACAATTGGAGAAGCTTATCATATGTTTCTAAGTATGTCTTAGCCTCAAGTATGTATTTAGCTTGTTGAAGCTAGAACGTAGTTCACCACACTTTAGTCTCTACACGTTGTACACAGTCTCTACACGTGTTCTTCCCGAAAAACTTTCGTTTCCCAACCTGTCATGACAGAGGAATAAGTTGAAGTTTGTTTTTCAAATATCAAGTTTATTACTATAATTCTTAATTCATGCTTTGTCGTGAGTGGTGCGAGTACGGGGCATGTTTTTAATGTTTCCAATACAATCACAGATTCCAGCTCCTCCACCAGCTCTACAGCTTTGAGCTCTAACTCCTCAATAACGTGTTTGTCAAATTCACAATAACCTTGACGGTACCTTGTCTGAGCATAAAAATCGACAATTTGAGTTTTCAGAACGACAACATTTCCAATAAGGATTTTCCTAGCTCTTAAAACATTTTCCAAACCTTCATACTTTGAGAGGATAGGTAACCCCAAACAATATATGATGTTCAACGTTCAAAGCTCAATATTAGTTCCGATGGCTCGTTAAGTCGGTGATTTCTGTATACTATATAACCTTCAACTTGGATGTCGTCCAGCTCATGTAATAGTTTCTTGGTACCTATGAAGATCCCGGTTAGAATTGGTCTTCAGCAACTCATGCTTGTCGTAAAAGGGGATTAACGGGATCAGATGGTCAGGCTCGCTGTCGTGCTTGACACAGGGTGAGCGTAGATCGATGCTCATGCTGTTGATCACTGGATTGTCTGGCCAAGACTCGTTTATTTACAGACAACCGCCATATAGCTGGAATATTGCTGAGTGCGGCGTAAAACTAAACTCACTCACTCACTCACTGAGTGCAGCGTTAAACAACAAAGCAACGAACCAACCACAGTTTCTTGATTACCTGTATCATTTTTCACACTAAATGAAACTAGGCTGTGATACTGTCAACACCTTCTAAGACCACCAATATTTAAATTAAGTGGTCAGAGAAGGTTATCATGAGTGGATGATTGACATGAATGTTCATGTGAAGATGGCACTGAAGTTGTATCAGGATAATCAGTCATGCTCGATTTAATACCAATCAAAAATATATTTACAACGTATTGAACTATACGATGGACAGATGAGAAGGAACTGAAATGAGCCTTCAATTTCATTTAAATTACAAAGTGTACATATTTTATCTTCTTTTTTAACATTTTTGTATCTGCCGCTTTCAATCAATAAAACGTGAGATATACATCTGAATCTTGCTAGTGATCGCGTCATTATTCGTACGAGTGAGGTATTCATGTATATTGGGGCGGTAAGATGCGGGTGCCAAGATGCGGGTGCGATTCCTTACACGATGCATAATGTGTGACCCATTTGTGATGCTCTCCGTCTTAATATTACTGGAACATTGCTTATAGCGCTGTAGAACCACACTGATACACTCACTCACTTTCATGCATACTCGCTGGTATTGACGATGTCGCATTATCGTCATCATAAGACTGAGTGGGTGAGTATGGTGTTACGCCGCTTTTAGTAATTTTCCAGCAATATCATGGTGGGGAACACCAGAAATGGCCGGCTTCACACATTGTACCCATGTGGGGAACGTCATCATAAGATTTGTTTTACATTTACAGTGTCAAAGTCAGAAAACAGAGTCAGATATCAGCTACAGGGATTTCGGGAGCCGAATTATCATTATTCTTTTAAATATACGAAATTAATATGTTTACATTTCTGTCGCCAGCCGTTAATTCGCCATTGACTACTGACGATAAATACTGAATTTTAGAAGTCTTACTACTTACAGTATTCTCACCAAATTCCTGAGAAGTCATCTGAATCTTATTAATAACATACACAACTTGTCTGCTCTCCGTTTGTCTGAGAAGACCAACTGACCAGTCACAAACGCGGGGAGTAACAACAGTCACTATAAATACACACACATTGAAACTGATCAAATTTATTATTGGTACACCGTGAAGATCAGCGTTAGAATTTGTCTTTAGCAACCCATGCTTGCCCTAAGAGGCGACTGATGGGATCGGGTAGTCAGGCTCGCTGCCTTGGTTGACACCTTTCATCGTATCGATGCTCATGCTGTTGATCACCGGATTGTCTGGTCCAGACTAGATCGCTTACAGACACACGTCATATAGCTGCAATATTGCTGAGTGCGGCGTTAAGTAACAACCAATCGGTAACTGAATATTGTAGGGGCCTCTCACACATCCGTGTTCACTACAATGTCCTCATGTTTATCAGTTGTCATGTGCTTATGCCTGTAATGGGCGGAATCTAAGTGTTTTTGGAGAGCATTATTTATGTAAAGTTGGCAACAACCAACGTTGCCTTTTTATCATTCACGCCTAGTTTGTCCGAGCGTTGGCTTCATCACCTCTCTCCTGTAGGCAGCAATCTCTTGGGAACCGGTCTACAATATGGAATGATTTTCCTTTCAGGTCTTTCCCACAACGTTTGACAGCCCTCTCACGGCCGTGTATAAACTGGACAATGATATGATCGGGGCGCGGATCCTCAGTCCGACGGGACCCATGAAGACCCGGGCTAGAAGTTTCCTTCAGCCAACTCGCTGGCTTGGTTGATACCTGCCATCGTATCCCAAGTGCGGCGATAGATGCCCATGATGTTGATCACTGCATTGTCTGGTCCAGACTCGATTTTGTGCAGACCGCCGACATATAGCTGGAATAATGCTGCGTGCGGCATTTAACAACAACCGACCAACTCAATCCGGCGGGGTGATGTTCCTCCCGATTCTACGTTCAAAAGTAAAATTTGAAAATCTGCTCAGAAGGTTCATTCAGGATGAACTGAAATTTGACAGTGACAGTTTCTTCCCAGGTTTCCCCATCCCTGACTGTTCCACTTTTTCACCTCTGATTGTAAATATAAGAAAGAGCTCTTTGATCAATTAGTCATTTTGTTTGTTCCATTTTTCATCCTAAATGCTTTTCAACTCCCACAGCTGATGTTTCAGGGATTGTACGTACCATTCAGCCGATCCAGGTAACACTGGCGTGAAGTGCATTAACGAGATCTTTCAGCTCATGCCTTCACTTTCAGTTCCTATGTTCGCAATGTTGAGTTTAGTGTCACATGTCATCGTATCCCAGTTGTGTAGATCGATGTTCATGCTGTTGATCACTGCATTGTCTGGTCCAGACTGGATTATTTACATACCACCGCAATATAGCTGGAATATTGCTGTGTGCGGCGTTTTATAACAACCAAATCATAATGTACAGACGTCATGGCGCTGTTCAAATTACTTGCCACCCGGTGATCATAGAACGCCCCAGGTAGCAGATTCACGTGGGGTACGGTATGTGGTTGTGCAACCTCACAGTAAGCAACCTATTTAATGATTCACATTTTCGACTTCATCAGCTGGACCTTTTCAGTGATTTAATGTTTATGGTATCGCCAGTTGCAGATTTGATCTGAGAAAAGTAATAAAGTTTGTCCTGTCCCATGTGTATGTGTAGTAGCGTTGTGTACCCAAAGTATCGATCCTCACGTTTGAACAAGTGTTCATGGCAAAACTATACTTTATTACACTACACGTGAGGGTAGAACAAACTTTACGTCTTAAGCAGAACATACAATCATAACCATGTATACACAAGACCAGTAATCAAGCACCACCTGAATCCAAGGTTAATTGGTAAACAAACAAGCAATCATGCCCAGACATACTGGAATGTACATTTATATACTACCCATCAAAAGTTTAGACTCACTAGTGTAAATGTAGCCACTTACTTGTCCACTGTTCTAAACTAGCTTTGTGCAAAATATTCCATACTGTTTAAAGGTACTGTTTAGTTATGAACTGGTGTATTGTAAAACATATTCGTAACATTGAAAAGATTATTGTCATGAGTTCAGTAAATGATTAAAATCTGTGAAAATTGGCGAATTCTTAACAAAACTTTACACCAAAACGAATCTGTTCACATGCACGACATTTGCTAATGCCTTTCGCAATTTGAAGCATCATCCTTGTGCAATTCATCTGCATAAGGTTTTCAGTTGGTTCCCCCAAGTTGGTGGAGCAATTCATCTTCGATGTAACCACATACATATACATAACATATAGTGAGTGCTTTAAGTGAGTCTAAACTTTTGATGGGTAGTATAGCACGTGCTTCACATAAAATGTCCAAATCTATGGGTCGAATAGTCATGTGCAATTTCATAATTGCAGAATGTGCATAACAGTTATCTGAACATTACTAAACTTAACTTTTCATGACGTAGTAGATCGAAGACTTTCAGAAAATTCACTTCAATAAAGATCCAGATTAGAATTGATCTTCAACAATCCATACATTTCGGATGGACTTGGTTGACACATTTCATCGTATCCCAACGGCGTAGTTCGAAGCACTTGCTGTTGATCATTGGACTGTTTGGACCAGACTCGATTGTTTACTGACTACCGCCAACAACAAACAGACAATTCACGATGGTCAGTTATTGGAATGCATGACGCAGATATGTCCTGTCGCCACATCGATGCTAATGTGAACTGTAGAAGATAATATAATCATCTTCTTGCTCACTGTCTTTATTTCGTTATTTCATGTTGAAAGCCTTCCACAATATCTTCTAATTCCTATTTGACAGATATGAAAAGTAATTTGATAAACTTGACCGGTATTTTGATTTTGACTAAGTTGACAGGTACAAGATGTCAAGAAAAGAAATACCTCAATAAGTGATAAAACATACTGAAACAAAGTCTGTATACTTATATGTAAACTTGAAAGAATGAAATACAAATGCTTACTTATGTTTACATTCAACCTGTAAATTGCTTCGTTGAAAGCCATGTGCTTTTTACACATTATATTTTCCGAATTTTAAGATATATTTCTTTTCCAAATTAAAGAGCATATGATGTTACAATTAATTACAAAACTCCCCTCAACATTGGAATTTATATTCATTAAACAACTGCAAGTACTTATTACTTACAAAACGTTTGGCAACATTATCTTTTCACAGTTTGTTCAAGTTGCTGGAAACACCTCAGCGCCGACTTTTCTGACCTCATGTCGTTTCTCCCAAGTGACTCACTTCCGGTTTGGATCAACCGGACCATAAAAAAAAAACTCCTCTAAATTAGAATGTTTAAGAAGCTCTCGTAATAGGTAAATGCAATTGAGCTTGCAGTTAGCTCAAAACAGTTAAAGGAAATTATTTCTCTACATGAACATCTACAACACGGTTATTAGCCTACTTGTGATGAAGCACGTGGCCATCGGTAAAGTAAAGGATCGCCAAAGACCCGGAAGATCGAGGTGGACCAATGACCGTAGTTTGATAACCATCCCCTTGCCAGTTGCCCAAAATTGACGGATGACACCACTCGACCTCGTGGGTCTCGAGCCGTCATCGCTAAATTAGTTGAGAATTGTGCGGCAATCAGATTCATGGCGTAGTCATGGTGATCATACCCTCCGGCATTGTTGAGTATTCCTCTCAGTTTCTTTCAGTTTGGTTTTGGTTTTAATCAGAGTAAAATAGGCTGCAGTTTCCATTTTGATACGCGGAATTTGAATCCCAAAGCATATACAACAACACTGTTTTCGTGCTAATTCAAACGTGAGCTTGAAAAGCTTGATTAATGCTCAGGTGCATATTTAAATATTCAGCTATCAATATATGTATGAAGTACGGGTGGCAAAGATTCCGCTGTGCAGAAAATGAATTGCACCCATTCTTGGTTTCGAATCTAAGATTCCCCCTCATTATGTTCCCGTGTGTGCCAGTTCCATACACGTGCCTGTTAGTTTCACCCAAGCTGTAAACCTTTGAACCATGCATCACATCACAAGGCATAATCCACAAATCAAACCGGGTGGCAGATTTTATCATCTGGATTGTAAGTCCCGTCAGCGAGTGGCCACCATTGTTCCCTATCGTATGGAATCCTAGAAGTATGGAATCCTAGAAGGGACATTGTCGCGTTGTCGCAATACCAAACAGTGATTCGAACCCCTGTGGTTATAATACATACTATAGTCAATATTTTAACAAAGCGCGACGCGCAACAATGCGACAACGCGACATTTCGTCAAAATGTCGCGTTGTCGCATTGTCGCGAGTGGCGTTTTAGTCAAATACGTTATAATACATACTATACTCAATATTTTAACAAAGCGCGACGCGCGACAACGCGACATTTCATCAAACTGTCGCGTTGTCGCATTGTCGCGTGTCGCGTGTCGCGTTTTAGTAAATACGTTATAATACATACTATACTCAATATTTTAACAAAACGCGACACGCGACGAGCGACAACACGACATTTCATCAAAATGTCGCGTTGTCGCATTGTCGCGTGTCGCGTTTTAGTAAATACGTTATACATACTATACTCAATATTTTCCATACACGTGCCTGTTAGTTTCACCCAAGCTGTAAACCTTTGAACCATGCATCACATCACAAGGCATAATCCACAAATCAAACCGGGTGGCAGATTTTATCATCTGGATTGTAAGTCCCGTCAGCGAGTGGCCACCATTGTTCCCTATCGTATGGAATCCTAGAAGTATGGAATCCTAGAAGGGACATTGTCGCGTTGTCGCAATACCAAACAGTGATTCGAACCCCTGTGGTTATAATACATACTATAGTCAATATTTTAACAAAGCGCGACGCGCGACAATGCGACAACGCGACATTTCATCAAAATGTCGCGTCGTCGCATTGTCCCGTTTTAGTCAAATGCGTTATAATACATACTATACTCAATATCTTAACAAAGCGCGACGCGCGACAACGCGACATTTCATCAAACTGTCGCGTTGTCGCATTGTCGCGTGTCGCGTTTTGGTCAAATACGTTATAATACGTACTATACTCAATATTTTAACAAAGCGCGATATGCGACGCGCGACAACGCGACATTTCATCAAAATATTTTAACATCGCGATATACGTTATAATACATACTATACTCAAATTTTACGCAACTTTCATCAAAATGTCGCGTTGTCGCATTGTTGCGTGTCGCGTTTTAGTAAATACGTTATAATACATACTATACTCAATATTTGACGCGACAATGCGACAACGCGACATTTCATCAAATTTTCATCAAAAATGTCGCGTTGTCGCATTGTTTCGTGTCGCGTTTTAGTCAAATACGTTATAATACATACTATACTCAATATTTTAACAAACGCGACACGCGTGACGCGACAACGCGACATTTCATCAAAATGTCGCGTTGTCGCATTGTTGCGTGTCGCGTTTTAGTAAATACGTTATAATACATACTATACTCAATATTTTAACAAAACGCGACACGCGACAATGCGACAACGCGACATTTCATCAAAATGTCGCGTTGTCGCATTTTCGCGTGTCGCGTTTTATTAGTTACGCCGGATTTTATAAACTATCACAAGCATGATTACTTTTCGAAGTTTGGATTGGATTGGATTGGATTGGATTGGATTGGATTGGATTGGATTGGATTGGATTGGATTGGATTGGATTGGATTGGATTGGAGTGGAGTGGAGTGGAGTGGAGTGGAGTGGAGTAGAGTGGAATGAGTGAGTGAGTGGAGCGGGGAGCGGAGTGAGTGAGTGGGTGGAGTGGAGCGGACCGGAGTGAGTGAATGAGTGAGTGAGCGGAGCGGGGAGCGGAGTGAGTGAGTGGGTGGAGTGGAGTGGAGTGGAGCGGAATGAGTGAGTGAGAGAAGTGAGTCAGTGAGCGGAGTGGAGGGGAGCGAAGCGGAGTAGAGAGGAGTGGAGTGGAGTGGAATGAGTGAGTGAGTGAGTGAGTGGAGTGGAATGAGTGAGTGAGTGAGTGGAGTGGAGCGAAGTGGTGTGGAGTAGAGTAGAGTAGAGTGGAGTGGAGATGAGCGGAGCGGAGTGGAGTGGGGTGGGGTGGAG